GCAAACTTTTAGGTACATACTTAACATATATACAAAGCGTTCCTTATCACATACTCCAAGTGCAAATTAGCGCTTCTTCGAGTACACTTGTAACGAAGTAAGACGAAAAAGTGAAAATGATTCCTTCTTCAATATTTTCTGAAGCCAACTGGAGGACTGCTGGGCGGCTGGCAAGGCGGTCCCGTGGGTTTTCGCGTTTGGATGGGCCGGGAGGTGTGGGGGAGGCGGGCTGGGGAGGGGTGGGGAGGGGGAGGGGGAGGGGAGGGGAGGGGATAAGCGCCGCAAGTCACACACGCGCAGGGCCAGCGTGCGTCCCACATTTCGCTAAGCAAACTGCGACGCCGCGGAGGCGCCTGCGACCGCAGAAAAAATTGAAGCACTTTCTAATTAAAATTCCCACACGAGTGTCGCCGCGGAGCGTGACGCGTGGGCGCGACTGTGGCTTACGAGAAAAGTCGAGAAGGCGTTCCCTGGATTAACGATGCGATGCGCAGTTGTTATAGGTTCGTCAGGAAAACTGGTGTACGGAGAATGTGGTTGAAAGCGATGGTAATGTCATGTTGGGAAGAAATTCCTCCAGTTCTTCTTATTAATGTTAACGGAATCGAGTGGGAGTTTGAGAACGGAATTTAAAATATCTTACATTGATCGTCGGTAAAAATGTTAATGAAGTGCACGTGTTGCACGATTGTTTGAGATTTTTTTAAAGAGCAAATAAGCATTGGGGAATAATGTTTATGCTTGTATAACCGTGCTTGGTGGATTTCAAGCCATATCTCCTAGGACTTTGATTTTCTCATGACCTTCAAAATATTTCCAGAACTATTTCTTTTTCGTACTCTTAAAATGTTTAAAAGGTATTTACAATATTAATGTCACAGTAGTTAACTTTATTCAGAGAAAGCTGCAAATTAATGTAAATTTTGTTGAATAGTGAATAGATTTTCCTTGAGCATAATTAAATTAATGAACTCCTGAACTTCTTATTAGAATGACAATCTTATTCAGTTGAATATGTTTCTCTTCTGAAGACTAGTGTCCATTAGGTTACCTATTAATTGATCGTAATTTTTAAATTATTTGTCGTATATTTGGGAAGGCCGCCAGAGGTGATAGTTCCTCGGCCAAGAATCTCGGTCCTGTATTAATACAGAATACAGAATTAATACAAATATTTTTACTACGGTGCGAAAGTAATATGAATGTGATGAACTAGTTGGTGGTGATGTATGTTGATGCCCATCAACTCCAGAGCTCTCAACAACCAAGCTCCAGAGCAATGGTGGAATGAAAGGCAGGATTGAGGTAATTCCCAACACGAACTTATTTTTTGCATTTCCAAAATTCACAGGGAAAGATCTGGATTTGAACCCAAGTATTCTGAGTTGCAAGGCAAGTACTACTACACCACAGGTCGCAAAAATGTTAGGGATTAACCAATATCTCAAGACAATGTTAGATCGGCATTTGCGAATACGTACTTGAAATTGATTAAAGGTGAAAAAATAGTGATGATAAATTAATTATGTACTCTGACCAAGAATTTTGTGAATGAAGGAGTTATCGGAAGGAGATTGTTGCTTAACGGCGTTTGTAAACTGATACCAATCGTTTAATTTTGTTGCCTGTAAACATTGCTTTGAATTTCAACTCGCATTTCACATTTAAAAACAAAAGATCTTAGTTTTGTTGAATTTCTGTCATTGTGGTTGTACTACTTTGAGGTGCATTATTTATACTTGTGATGAAAGAAAGAAGTGGAACTTAATCAGACTTCTATCATTACAAGCAAATTTTTTCTCTTAATTGTCATTCAGTGTTTTGGAGCTACTGAAACCTGCCCTACGAAAAAAAACCTTTATAGTCATAAAACGTATAGCGTAATTACAAAATCAAATAGTGATGTTTGTCATGCAAAATACAATATACTTTTTAATTCATATTTCTTTCAAACAATTTTATTAACTCATGAAATACCTACCATTATTCATTAAATATTCTCATGCGTTTCAATGGAACCGAAGTGATTTCTTCCTATTGTCGTTAAGATCAAGTCGCTTTCCGAAAACTTTTTATGTATGAGGCTAAGCTAAAGCCAAACTTAAAAATTTAGGAAAACTATCTCGTTTACACTCGTCTTAAAGCGGCTTCAGTTTCGTTAGCACGTACTTGGCGGCACCTTAAAACTAAATCCGAGGAAAAGATCCGGACGAAGCCAGGTGAGGCGAAGGGTGGCGAATCGCAAAGAATTATGAGTAAAACAAGCAGGACGGGAAAATGCGGGTAGCCCAGCCTGCTGAGACGATTCGCGCCGGCAGTCTTTTCGGGGGCGGCGCGCGGAGACGCACTTCAAAGCAATTGCGTGTTTTCTCTTTTGATTGCAAATTTGGTGGCTACTTTTAACGGTATTATTATACGGGTTGGATGTGGTATTTACCTCGTTCCAATTTTCTTCTTTTGCTTTCTCTTTCTGACGCTCGGAACAAAAAAAAAATAATGATATTGTTTCTCAGCCTATAAGTAGTAGACAACTCATACTTCAAGTTAAAACTATTACTATGAAGGTAACTGTTAGTATCAAACTTTCGATTTAAATGGGTTTTAGATTGTATATTCTTTAGAAATACATATGTGGAAATATAATTTCAGAAGATTTTGCCTAGTTGATTAGTGTTTCTACATGCGTCAACTCCTACGGACATTATTCCTGTAAGCATAGTGCATGTTTTGATCGTGGTAGGTGGCTTTGGCCTCCCCTCGCTGGATGACGAAACCCGTCGCCGACTACACGTCGGGTTTTTCCCAACCAGGTATCTCCCACCAGCGAGGCACCGCACCCACTGACTGTAAACAATTACATAGACAATTTGCACAACTTTTTCAGTTTTGAAGTTTCCGCGCATAAATATTGCCGAAAGTTTCATATTATTGTTGCCTAAGAATATTGAAAATTGAATATTGAAAAATCTCTGAAATTGTAATTTTGCTGGAGAGTATGTCTTATCTCGAACGGAAAATCTAGTTCGTGGCCAAACTCTGTTTTACTTAAAATTTACCTACAAACCGGGTGTCTTGTGAACTATCTTCATTTCACATACAACTTTTATATGAGACGTTCTGGGTTGTAAGAGCGAACTCAACTTTCAGTAATTTTTTAATGCACCGTTGTGAAATGCCCCAGTGACTCTCATGCTCAAAGGCATTAAGTGGGGTTCTCTTCCTTGTCCTATCCACACCCCTTTCACACACGTACAATAACATGCATTTCACTATCACACATGCTGGGACACCGGTTGGGAGCTTAGATTTTGTCCGGGTGGGGCGGTGCCCCACCGGTTGGGAGATACCTGGGTTGGGGAAACCCCGCTAGCCGGCGGTAGGACGGCACCGGATCTCGCCATACATCGGGAGATCAGCGCCACCAAAACACACACTACACTTACGGGACTAACGACCTCAGAAGTTGATGCGTCTGGAATCACTGACAACCAACCAACCAAATCCAATATTAAAAATAGAGATTTCTTTCTCAATGAATTTTATCCCTAAATTTAAAATTTTTAAATGATGTCTTGAGCTTTTTTACAAAAATATGTGTAGTTTTGTGCAATACCTAGTGACTCTATGAGGAGGAAACGTTTCGGTGAACGAAAAATACTTTTCTCTTAGAAACATTTTTGTTGAGCTTTCCCTGAACGGAAAATATTATAATACGTTTTTCACAAATTTTGAATTTGTTGAGTTCATCCTTTATACCCGGAACACCTCTTATCCCTTACCTATATGTCGACAATTGAGGGTAAGGTTTTAAGAGTCATAGTTTTTAATCAGTGTTACTATTACTATACAATACTATAATTTACTACCATTTTTACTCAAAAGAAAATAGTTAATTTCCCCTCCTCTCTCCTGATCTTGTGAATATTTCTTTCCGTGATTACCCTCTTAATAAAATAAATTAATTACCAAAATAAATAATCTTCGCGAAACTAACTTACAGGAATACAGGAACATGACAAAAAAGCGCTAGGTCAGTGGCGAGCTCGGTTCACCAGCCGCCAGTTTAAGTCCCGCTTATTTACATTGTGCTGTGGTCTTTAAGGTCATTCCATGGTGGAAAAAGATGGGTGAGCTAGTCCGGCGCACTGATTTTTGCTCGTTCTGCGTAAAACCAAATATTTGACTGTTTTATAATTTTATTACTAATTTTATGATATCCTGGGGCTTGCCTTTGTTTTTAAACGATTGATATTTTTTATAACTTCTGAGGGAGAAATAAATTAAATTTTTGACGAAGCTAAATATTTTGTTTTTTTCATAAATTCTTGAAACTTGTATATCTAATATGATTATGTTCCGTGATAGAACGAGGTTCTCCTACTGATTTTCTAAAATTTCTACTTTTCCAAGGTCCAAATAAGTTTTTTCTTTATTATTTTTTAAAGAAGGTATTTCCATTTTTCTCGTGTAATTCGCTTAACTGTAGTCCACAAATGAGTTGTGTTTATATATATTTGCTTAAGGAATTTTTAAAACGTAAATCAAAATTGTTCAAGTCGAAATTTATGTATTCGAGATAACTTTTTAAGTAATTATTTAATGCATTAGCAACGAGCTGCCCCGTGAAGGGGTAGCCAACTCAGTCCATATTTACAATCAGTGGCTCCTTGAAACTTTGTATACTACTACTTTGAATTGAAACCTTGAAACTTTGTATTTCACTATTCTCAAAATCAATCTCGTTTCAATTTCTTATAGTTAGCTACACCAAAGACTCCTATTAAAAGAGAATTATTCGATTAATTAGTGATCACAATGTCTTTACTTTTCCAAGGCTACCTAGCATGTAGTCAGTTGAATGACGAAAAAAGTTTCAAAGGCGAGGTTAGCAGCTAGACATTTTCGAATCTTGATAATCTCGCTTTTTTTAAATTAAAAAACCATAACTCGTTTTCATCATTCAACTACTGTATCTGACTCGGACACGCCCTCGTTCGCAGCGTCCAGCGGTTCGCTGGGAGACGGCGGCCAGGGCGTGCGCGCAGGCAGCGGGGCGACAGGCCCCGGCAGCACCAGAAGCCCTGTGCCCGCGCCTCCGACCGGCCCGCCCAAGGGCCCCGGCACCGCCACCCTCGTCGACGAGTCGCCCCTGTCCCCGCTCAAGTACTTCCAGGAGCGATGCGCCTCCAGCAAGGGCGACGGCTCGTGCTACCCCGCCGCCGACTGCCAGCGCCTGGGAGGCGTCGCCATCGAGCTGTGCCCGGGCAGGAAGTTGCAGTGCTGCGTCTGTGAGTAGCTTTTTTTTTTTTTTTTAAATTTTTGTTTTGTTTTTTAAATTTTTGTTGTGTTGTACTGTTATTTTTGCCTTAAAGCAAAGATGCAAAGGAATGAAAAGCCATTCTTGACGGGCAAAGTCTCTAATGTTTTATCTTCTGTTATGCCGTCTTTTATGAAGCCGTTTTGAGAAAATAATTGTTTAAAAATTGTCCAAATTTTAGGCAAAATAACGCGAAAAGTATTCACATTTTTGAAAAAGTGTATATGATATTATTTCGAAATCTGTTTTTAAAGAACAGATTTCATTAACTAACCAAATCCCTATTTTCAATATTTTAGTTGTAGAAAAACGACGAAAAAACTGAACTTTTGAAATTTTCGAAAAATCAGGAACTTTATCCAACATGCACTACCAATTTGATCACCATTTTCTTAAGTATTTTCCACTCTACCCGAAGGACAAAGTTAAATTTAAAAAAATATTGCAATTTTTTAGAAAATTTTGTAAATGTCCTAGGGGACATATGAAGTATCCCGAAAATTAAAATATCGATTTCAAATTTAAGGGGCCGCGACATCAGCTATATTGATTGGGAAATATCTGTTTTGGAGGAATCGGCTGAACGGTTTAAGCGTAGGGCGTGGCACAGACGAACTTTCTGCCGTCACACGTTTTGTCGTCAATCGATATTTCGGTACCCATGACACATAAAACATGGATTCTGACGACACCACGTGTTAGAAGTAATTTACTATATACAGGAACAAGATTTATCCACTTTTCGATATTAGGGCCCGGAAAATTCGCCGTTTTCCGTCGCACTATTATAATAGTTTCACTTCTTACGTACGTAAAGCCAAAAAAGTAAAAATTCAGAGTACAAGGAAAATGAGACATGCGCTATTTTTAAGTGTCCTTTGCTCTACCCGAAGAAGAAAGTTTCTCCAAACATTTGTAGCCATTTTTAAGAAAATTTAGAAAATATTGCTGAGACTTCATGTAAAATACCCCCAAAAATCAAAATATCCGTTTCAAACTTGCAGGCCTTCAGTCCGGCCAGATCGATAGACAAATTTCAATATTGGAGAAAATCTTCTCAACGGTTTAGGCCCTATCGTTGACTACAAATAGGCACGAAGACGAATGGACAGAAAGATGTTTTGCCGTAAATCAGTTTTCGGTATTACGGGCTCACAAAACGTGAATTATGTTTAGATAACGTATTAGACGAAGTAATTTACAATATAGAGGGACAAGATTTATCCACTGTTATGATACCAGGAGTTTTTCTGGTGAAAAATCTTCACTTTCTGCTGAAGCAATATAATAATTTATCTTTACTACGAAAGTACGTAGAAAGACGAGAAAGTGCAAATTTTACAAGAAAAATTAGTCAGAAATTTAATTGTTCCCCCTTGTTTTAGGCTGTGCATCCAAAGAATCGAGGTTAAGTTGTAACATACCGAAAGCGTATAATGATACATTTTGTGGAAGGATATTAAACTCATAATATGGAATCTTAAACGTTGCTGAACGTTTCCGTTCTTAAATTGAATTATTTGTAAGGTGACGTAATTACGGAACATAAATTAATATCTATATTTAATACTAATGTCCTATTTTCGTCATACGTTTGTGGTCATTGTGGTTGAAGAGGAGGGTTTGTAAAGTTCCTTTTTTCATTCCCGGAGAAATGTGTAGAAGACTGGTTAATGGAAAACTTCTCGGTAGAAAATAATTATTTTATTACCTACATGTTTACCTTACAAGTCGTTGAGTACCTAGAATTTGAGTTGAATACCCTTCCCCCTCCAATCATCAATTCGTCCATTCACAAACCAATAGCAAGCAGAAACAAATACATGTAGAGTTGCACAACCTCTCACCAATGAAGGGACCCACTGAGCCCTCCAAAAATATACTAACTTTAGCAGATACCCATGAGCGACAAAGATCCTCTCCGCTCAATGGGAAACTACCCAACAACTTCTCAGTTACGGGTGTGTGTCACTCCCATACAAAAACTTTCTCCATCCGGACTCAGTCATCATCGAAGAAGGCAAAATGTATTAATTTTGGCGCTCAATTTACATCTCACCAACAACTATAAAATGCCGCCCATAGTACAAATATCTAAGTCTTAACTCTGCCCTTCTTGTACAACAAACCAACATTGCAAAGAAAATAAACACGCAAAAACCAATTGAAATTGTATCTGAGATACATACATGTTCAACGTTTTGAGCTAAACTTTCAGAAAAAACACTTCTTCCGGAACGGTTTTCACCAGAACCTTGCCGGAAAACGTTCTCGGTAGCGAGATTGAAAAACAAATCCTTTCAAATGTCTGCAACATGATACTCCGTTGCTAGCTGGAGCCAAATGACAATAATAACCCGTTACGTCACACGAATTCCTAGTGTTTATCTTGCATGATTCGTTTGTATGGCGTGGGTATCAAGGTCCCTGCATATGAAGGTTCCCGTATTTATGATAGAAATTATACTGATTTTACCTTCTTGCTAGAACTCAATACATGTTCATTTGAAAATGTTTGTGAAGTAACAGGAGTACATCTTACTACGATCAAAATTATCTTGCATTGCATCTACAGACCAACAAAGCGAACTACGGATTGTCACTTCCTGAGAAAGTATAGATAACTCTGAATCTGAACAAAAGCAGTAATCATTCTTTAGAATATATTGTTGTATGTGGACATAAAACATCCATTTTCTGGTGAACTCTCACGAAAACAGCCGTTTTTAAACTTAATTAATTCTTTTACTTTAGATATTACAGTGAATATACCTACGCGGAATGCTGTTAAATAGACAACGCAATAGATCAAATCATAATTAAGAAAAACACTAGCAATGAAATAATAAAGAATAGTCTCCACATGTTTCTCTCTTTTAGAGCAAAGGAGGTTAAAAAGTGACGCAGGTCTCATTTTGTTGTTGAACTCTGTATTTTCGAAAATTGCAAAAGTTACAAATATTGTGAGATAGTGTTTTTTGTATCACTACTAATATCTTTCGTGCTTCAATGGCTGAAAATGAAACACTTATTGCAATATTTTTAGGTCTTTCGAAAACGTTTGAGATTAATCATAATATTTTTGCTTTCAAAATTCCCTTCATAGGGAATTCATGGTATTGCTTTAGTTTCGATATCATCGTACCAAAAAAATCGATAGAAAAGAATATAATAACTAAATGGCCCGAAATAAAATTATTGCTGTGCGCACGTTTTGTTGGGCTCTCCTTTTGCTCGTTGTGGTAGGAGTAGATCCGGGAGGTGGGTTGCTATTTTGTTAGAAATACTATGCTTTCAAGTAGTTCGCTTACCTTCGCGTTTACCTTACGTTTTCTGTAGCTCGAGAGCGAAAATTTATAATTGTCAAATGTAGCTATAACCTCGCGTTTTTGGTACTTTTAATCATCATTCAACTAGGTGTAATAAAATGTGGGGGAAGGAATTCTGTAGTTCAAGAACACGCGCACAGATTATAGATATTTTGTTAATAATTTGTTGTTGTCAACTGTCAATTTTATCATATTTACTAATTATTTTATTATAAAATAGATTGTAAATTTACTTTGTTCAGAATGTTAAAAATTAAATAAATATAGATTATATACTAGATAGATATTTATTATTTCTGCAGGTAGGTTTATGCAACTAATTACAATTTATAAATATTAACATTAGGAATATTAATGCAATATAACTTTAAATTATTTTAAAATAATAATAATAATAATAATAATAATAATAATAATAATAAAATAATAATAATAATAATAAAATAATAACTGATTTAATAAGCCTGACATACTAATTAATAAAGTTTACAAATATCATTTGATAGTATACATTTAAATCTTTGAACACCTAAAGGAACTGGTTCCACCGCTGTCGCAGGCGACTTATTCCAGTCCATTAATGTTCTATCTGTAAAGGAAAATTTTCCAACATCTGTTCTCTGTGACCTGAACTGATTTTGTGTTTGTGATCCCCTGTACTAAAGTACGTGGGTCTTCCGAGTTGGATGTAGGTATCTTTCCCAGCTGGACAACCGGCATACGCTTTGTACAGGGCCCAGATTTTTTTCTTAACCCTCCTGATTTCTGGAGACTCTCATTCTACTTTCTCCCTTTTGCTTTGGTAAGTTTACACGCACTTCTCTGTTTTCTATTCAAATTTTCCTTTTGTATATTTCTAAAAGGTCCCAACAAACTGCCCCGAATTCTATTAATGGACGAATTAGCGATAAAAAAAATAATGCTCTCGCTTTTACAGTACTTTTTTTTATTATCTACTTAAAAACAAGTTTCGAGAAAAAACGAGATTAATTTTGACAAGATGTCGTGATTGTGAACATAACAATAATTATGTAACTTGTGTGTTTAGTTGAATTGGAATTTTAAATACTATTTTATAATTTTGTTCATTCTAGCAATAAAATAAAGTAGTTTTAGCATCCTCCTATCATTACACTTATTAAAAGAGTAGTAATCTCAGGATAAGAATGGGCACGGCATTGTTACTAAGGAATGCTATTATAATATTCTCTACGACTACTGTATGCATTTCTACGTGTTATTGGACGATTCCACAAGTCGTGCGAGAATTTTATTTTCGCACTACTGTCGACCAAAAAAGCAATCACATTCGTCTTAGTTCATTACACACGGCAGAGGGTTCCTCAGTTGTATATATAGGACAACAGCTTCGCGCGCTCTGCCGCGGGAGGTCGCAGCTGACATACGACAGGTGAACCACGAAACAGTAAGCGAGTTAGTGATTGTGAGGACGGTTGTGTGGTAGCTGAAGGTTATGTTGATGATTTTATGACAAAATGTCTACCGCAAACATTCTACTGCTATTCAAGTAGAACTTAATACAGCTATTCAAAATACTCATATTCAAGAAACAGCTTGTTTTTATTAACGATAGTATTATAACGATATCATATTTAATTAACGAAATAAAAATTACAATAAATGTAACATTATTTCAAAAAATAAAAACTTTTCAAATGTTTTTCATTTAGTATTTTGAAAACATCAATTTAAAGGTCGTAGAGAAAGTATATTTTTCTACACACGCATATTATTATTCACTCATAGAAATTACGTCACTCGCCCCTACATCTCTCGTGTCGTAAACATCAACTCGTAAATAATAGCTATCATTCTATGCCCGTTTAAGAAAATACCATTATTGCTTTGAGAGTAAAATGCAGAAATGATTAAATGATACACACTAGGTTTATTTAAACTCTATTTTTTTATTTTATTTTATAAAAACGTATGGTTCACAAACTTGTGAAACATTATGGTGAAAACATTATGGTTCACAAACTTGACCGAGTTAAAAAAACAACAACTGCTTCTACACACACACTGGTAAGTTCAGTCCAAAACGCTTTCGGGTTTTCTAGAATAACTTGGTCAAGTTTTTGGAGTAATTTATCTCTCTTGCCTTTGGAGAACCTAGAAACCTTTGGTCATTGTGAACTCTCCAATGCTAATAACAACATGGTACGCAACTCTTTTATATTAAGACATTTCAAGGCTTTGTCCAAAGAAAACCTTTCTAAGTAGGACTTTTTAAAAATTAAACTTGACTTTCCTCGACACACTTTGACTTGTAAATTAATGCTATTCTTTCAACATATGCCATGCCGAAAATTTTCTGTTTATTGTTTTTCTGCGTTCGTCTGAAATTCTTTCTGTTCATTTTAATTTACATAGAGCTTTGTCGTACGGTGGGAAAACTATTTTTTCCCTTTAACTCTGCTTTCTTTTTCACATTTCCGCTTTCTATGTTTTCTTCTATCTTTCTCCTTTTTCTAGGCTGTTCGTTCTTGGAAATTCCAAGTTCAACACTTAGTAAATTTCGTGTTCCTTGTTCGGCTTTCTTGCATCATTTTCTTTACGCTGCTCATCCTCCTCAGACGCATGTTCACCTTCAAAATCAGTTACTAGTTTCCATATGTATCTCAGATCAGTTTAATTGGATCTTCTAATTTTGGACCTCTTGTGTTATTGGATCTTCTGTCTCCTAGGCCTTCTGTTGCAATAGACCTAAAGCACAATATACCTCTTTGTGGACATTTTGTGTTTTAGACCTTCTGTCCATGGACTTATCAACCTGCAAATACCGAGTTCTCTTCTAGTATTTGCAAATAGTTTACGTTACCTTATGTGTTGTAGCTTGTGAATTGTCTCGCTTTACAACTTGAAAGATAAACGTATCTTTAGATGCGCAATGTTGTATTTTTAGAACATATTATGCCGAGAGTAGCTCTTCATTTTGCTGCTTTTAAAATATCATGAATGAAGAATAAATGAATATGTCGATTATTTACGAATTTGATCTTTATAATAATTAACAATAATAATATAGTATAATAAATTACCATTGGATCATATTCTCCACTCAGCAGATACTAACAAACTTATGAGATAAAGAAGTTTTGGAAGGGGTGGAAAAGGTAAATATTCGTCCCCTGACAATTTCTACTACCGCAATAGTAACAAAATCTCTCATTAAACATCTACAAGAGTTAAATATAAAGTATGTACCGGCAGCAATGCAAAAACAGTTATTCTGAACACCTGTCACAGTGTGAAAAAAACTGTCACTGGTATAGCTGGCATGTAGTGTTGGAGGTCTTGAAAATAAATAAAGGTATTGCTCGTTACTTGCTCATCGGAGTAGTACGAGAGTGAGCTTAGGCGCAACAAAGCCTGAGACAGGTGAATGTTTCCTATCCGCGTGGAAGAAGTCCATAAATCATAATAATAATAATAGTAATAGCTCATAATAAATAGTGAATTTCAAATTATTGTATTATCATTTTTGTGTAATTATACACTTCTGAGAAAAGTGTGCATTGTTATTGTAGGAATAAAGGGAGATCTCTTCTTTGGAAGCTAATATTCTCAATGTAATTAAAATACGTCGGGTTGATTGAAAAACTTTATAAAAGTAGTCCGACTAGATATCGAAAACATTAGCTTTGAAACGGTAGACAAAACTTGCATTGTTTCGCCAACAAGCATGACACTGTCACCTTCCGTGACGGAATATTGCATTCCAGAGAACTTGTAGGGCAATTACTCGCTGATAATGAACTGCGATGAAAAATAGGGCTCACCCTCGTCTCCTCGTTACCGTCGTCGCTGTCTTGACGAGCAGTCTCTCCTTTTCGCAGTTGAGCGCTCTTGCGGAGATGTGTCTGGAGAGCGTCTCACGTACTTCCAGTCTCCGGACTACCCGGCTCAGTCCATGGGCACCCTGGCCTGCGATTACGACGTCGCCATCCAGAGCGACGTGTGTGCCGTCAGGTAAGCAACCAACGCAGAATCACCAAACCAAATAGAGTAACATAGGTGTTACTTACGTCATGGATAAAATTGTGTGAATGCTTTAGTAACGTTTTTTTTATGTTCTATTTGCACTGATATTTATATTCAAGTATTTTTGTCCTGTTCAGGAGGCCCGGTTCCTTCCAAATATAATTTGGAGGAGCTGAAGGCGCCTGGGCTCCTTAGAGTGGGCATCTACGCTTTTGGAAACCTCGACCAGACGTGACAGATATGTCATAGATATAAATTAATGGAGGATTACTCCGGAAGCGTAAAGCGCTTAACGCCACGCGGGGCATGGAGACGCGTTGCGTCAATGAAAGACGCAACAAAGTTTTTAAAAAAACTAAAAAAAAAAACAACAACATAATCTGGGGAAGCTCAACGTGTAGTACCCAGACCTTTAGATTGCAAAAGAAAATTATCCTAATAATGGAAAAATGCCATCCGCGTGATCCCAGCAAGCCTCACTTCATTGAGCTTGGAATCTTACCATTGCCTTGCCAATTTATTTACGAAACTGTAATATTTGTCAAAACTGTCTTACTAAACGTCGGGAACATATTTTCATGCAATACTGATATTTCAAATTATAACACACGTCGTAGAAATCACGTTTATAAAGTATCAGTATCAACTGCTCACTACCAGAAATCCACATACAATACATGTACATTACTTTACAACGCATTGCCAGATGACATTAAACAATTGAAGTCGGTACACAAATTTAAGTTAAAAGTAAAGTATTTTCTGCTACATAACCGTTTTTGTACAATTAGAGACTATAGTAATCATCAAAAAGAAAAATAATGTTTATTTTAACAAAACAGTGATATATAATGAATTAGCTTACATTTGTCTTGTATGTTTTTAAAAGACTTGGTATGCTTGTATCAAATAATGTACTTCAGCTTCCGAATTAATGACCCCCATCCCGATCAGGTTTTTGTCCTGTTTCCCTGATCCATTGAGCAAATACTTAGATGATTCCTTTTTTGCTTCTGGACATTAATGTAGCTTCACTATGCGAACGTTTTGTTGAAATCTCCTTTTGCTTGTAGTGGTAGGAGTAGAAGAAATAGTGAGTTACTATTTTGTTAGCAATGAAGAAAAATCAAATTTTCAGTTCGTTTATAAATAAGTTTTCCATGAATTGGGGAACGAGAATGTCTGGTTTTTCAAATGTTGCTAATCTCGCGTTTTTTAAATTTTTTTTAAACGTGTACTTGTCTTTCAACTATTTATAGTTAAAATGATAGGAAAGAATTCTGGAACTCAAGAAAACGTGCACAGATGATTTTCCCCCCATTCGTCACATACAGTTTTTACTGTTTTTTGACTAAATAAATCAAAATCTAAGTATAATAAGCGCCGGGAGAAATGGCTCAGGACACAAACTGATGTCGCTACAGTGTCCTTGATCGTGAGGTTCTGGAGTTCGAGTCCCGGCGGTGGCAGGTTTTTCGACACTGGCCAGATAGCTAGGTCTAGTTCTGTCGGCGACTGGAGGAGAATCCTAGCGTCTGGCTATTCTATTCTGATCGGTAGTTTTCTCTGTGATTTTTCCGATTAACATCAGGCGAATGTCGGAAACGGTGCCCTAATAAACGGAACGCGCATGCGATCTTTCGTTCGCCATTCCTTGTCCTACCTACCCTTACACACACACCACACACACAACACACCACACACACACACACACACACACACACACACACACACAAACTTGCACTACACTATAACACACGTCGGAAGACCAGTTGAGAGCTTAGAGCTTGACACCGGCTGGGACGGTGTTCCCGCTAGTGCCCCCTTATTTGGGGGAAAACCCTGCTAGTTCGGCGCCGGATCTCGCGAGAAAACACACTACACTTACGGGACTAATGATCTTTGCCGTTGACGTGCTCGGAATCACAAGTTAAAGGAATCGGCTTTAAATTTCCAGTGTGCTTTAATCGGATTTCTACCAGTATAATTTTAAAATTCGTCACGTATTCGGTTATCTTTCATTCTGTTTACTTTTTGTTCCGTAAGAAAGTGCACCCTGTGCAGGTAAATAGACCGAGCAGTCGCTGTCATTTCAGTATAGTTCAAAATCAATTGGTACTTTATTGAAAGTAGTTGTACAATGCAAGCTGGTACAATGCAAGCTAGTACAATTAATTGGTAAAATCAAATAAACGAGGGAAAGATAAAAAAAGAAAAGAAAAAAAGAAAAAGAAAAACGATCATCAGGAGAGGACAACCGCGAGAGACAAGACCGATTTCCCTGCTCACATGGCAGAGGAATTGAAGATGCCCATACAGGCGAGCTGCGCAAACTTGGTACAATTTATAGAAACGGCGTGGGCTTCAATGCACATGGTGTTGGATTCGAAGAATGCTGTGTGATATAATGACTAACAAATATCAGAGGAACTAAATTTGACTCCTTCATGAGATGAGGCACAATCGCAACATTTCATTGGCTGTCCCTTCTCCCTCAATTCACTTGAGTACCTATTAGTAATAATAAAGAAATTTTAAAATGAAGGGAAAAAAAGAAAAAAAAAGGAGAAAAGAAAAGAAAAGAAGAAAAAAAGAAAAAAGAAAGATATAAAAACCAACCAACTTAAATTTAGTATTAAAGAAATTAAGTTGTATTCTGTTACGCACTATAATGAATTATTAATATTGTTTGGTTGTGTAATGTGTTTGATTTCATCCCTTAATTATTCCAGCTTACCTCTAGTTTATTAATAAAGGACGAATGACAGAGCTAGTCTTGCAATACATTGTTTGGATTACACTTTCTAATGTCTTGAGTTGCTAATTTCATAAAAATTAAATGACTCCAGAAATTTTCTAAGGTGAGGTAGGGAGGAGTCATTTAGGCCTGTTATAAAATGTTTTTCTTCAAAAATATTTTTTGTTTTATCTTACATTAATTGATAAATAATTAGTAGGGAATAATTTTATGGTTAGAAATATTATAAACTGTAGTGAATAATTACTAACTATTCTACATTTTTTCTTACATATGTAATAAAATCTAATTAAGCATTAATAGCCGTGTTGCAAAAAGTTCAGAGAACACTACTCTTTTTTATCAATGTCATTTTTATGAAACTTTTGTGAAAAAAGTGTATGTGTAGAGGAATATTTGCACTTAATATTGAGAAAGGACTTTCATTTGTAAACGGATTAAGTCACTTTCTAATACAACTTAATTATTATCAAATAAATTTTATCTAATAAGAGTGTAATGTGTGATGGTATTTTCATCATTTCGATTCTTTAACATTGAGAGGAAGTAAGGAACAAGTGATTCAGGACAATAAAATTAATTCTATCATCTATCTTTATTTTTACACTATAAATTATCCACAAATTGCAATCCATCTTATAAATTTAGATCTTCACTAATATTTTATTTAATAAATAATTTATAACTGTTCAACACATTAGTTACTCCATCCAGATTGCAAACTGGATCTCATTCACTCAAGAAATACAATTATATTATGTCTCATACTTATCAGTCAATCACCTCCTACCTATTTAACTGCCTGGAGTGTGCTGCATTTGTTTGTATAGTACAAGACAATTCTCTCATAATTAATTAAACTTTTTTAAAAGAATTATTTTGATTCCAAATTTTTATATTACGAATTTTACGATTTCTGCACTGTTTTTCCCCAAAATTGATCACTGTTTAAAGAAATAACTTCAACTAAATTCTTTAATATTAAACTTTTTTACATAGATACCTTTATGTAGGCCTATGTGATTTTGGAAAAAAAAAAAAAAAATACATCATCAATTGGCTTATGAAATTACATCATGGTACATCAAGTTAAGTGTCATTTTGGTCTACATTAATTTTGTTTGTTTGTGTGTGTGTGTATGTGGTATGTTCTTTCCTTTTTATGTAATTTTGGTTTCTGACTTTTTCAGAATTGAGTATGAGAAGGTGCAATTAGCAAGAAAATTAGGAGGTGTATGTGATATTGATCAAATTTTTATTCTTAACTCTGTTGATGGTCCTACAACTGGTCAATGTGGTCCTCTCTCAGGTTACAGTAGTAAGTATTATTAATAATTTCTGAAGTGAGTTTAATACAAGACCTGTACAGAAAGGAGGACAGGGAATCCAAGGCCCTCCTAAAATATTTTGAAAGTAACCCTATAGCATTTTGTACTAAAACATCTTCTTTCTGTAAATAAGTTGAATCCCTGATTTTCTACCTTTACTTTAACCTGACAATTTGGGGAATTGAAAAATAACATTTAAGGATTAGGCTCTCTAAGACATCCGGCAATCCTTTAACAGATTTAACATAAAATCTTTTTTTTTTTTAATCATATCATGAAAGTCTTAATTTCATTCTTCTTGAGGTAAATTTTATTTATTTAGTAGTTAAAAGCCACGTGAAAATAAAAGTATTTAATGGAAATGTGGATCCAGAAATGTAGGTGTCTCCACTCCTGTTTTCCACTGTATTCACCTGTGTGTTTAGAGTTATGAAGTATAGTTGTTAAGTTAAATGAAGCTTTAATAGCTCAAATAATTTGGATGGCTTGATTACATTTGTGGCTTTTGCTATCAACGAACATATGAGGAGTTTGTTATCAAAACTAGCTCATTCCATTTGAGACAGTTTGTTACATGTGTAGCTTTTTTTAATACAGACCTTCTCACATATGCTCAGTTAGATATGAACAGGAAAAAAAATTATTTAAATTAAATTAGAGTTAGTTAAATGTTCAAATATTTTGCTACTAAAAATAATTATCTATTATGTAATACCTTAATATATCTGTAACTAGTATTGTAGTATAAGTATCTCTAGGCCAATGACTCCATCTTCATCAGGTTTTTTGTCCAGTTTCCCTGGTCCTTTGAGTAAATGCGGAGATGGCCCCTTGTTTTGCTTTTGGACAATAAATGTAACTTCACTCGCTGCACTGAAGAAGATGTTTACGATTGTACTCCCTCTATATATATTGTATATAATGTCTCATCATACATGATGTAATTGTATTGTGGCTCAATAAATTTTATTTTTATTATTATTACAATTATTACAATTATTACAATTATTACAATTATTACAATTATTACAATTATTACAATTATTACAATTATTACAATTATTAGCAATTATTACAATTATTATTATTATTATTATTAAATTATTATTATTATTATTATTATTATTAAAAATTCTCCCCCTATTTTAGGTGGAAATGAGCTGTATTGCAGTTATGTCCCTTAGTAAAAAAAAAATAAGAATTTGCAAAAAACAAAAAAGGTTAATTTTGGTACGTAATGGAATGAGTGGGTTTTGATAGAAATATGCAAAATAGAAATAAAGCATTAAAAGAGTTTATATTTTTATTTATAGTCTTCTTTATTAATGCACAATGCATCCTTTTGGCACAATCTCAGTATTAGCAAATAAATGTGCAATTGAAACAATCAGAGTGAAGAAAATAAAAAATGGGGATCACCCAAAGTGATTAGTAACTTTTAAATAAAATATTCTCCTTATATTTTTTGATATAATGTTTTGTTTCCAATTATCACAATAAAGTGCTACCTGTATATCCATTCTGTAATAATCCTAAGAAATATTGTGTTAATATTCTTATTGCAATAATATTCTAATAAAATAAGAAATTCTTACATAAGTAGGGCCTACACTGGAAGAACAATGAGGGTCCAGAAATATAACTTCTGAGAAATCAGTATTTTTAATTTTAAATCATAATAACTTCATTATAAATAATAAAGTCCATTTATTTTTATGTTTCTTTAACTAGAAATGAATTGAGTTCATGTTCATTGTGTTGTTGGTTTTTTATACTTAAAAGTATTACATAAAAAATACATAAATTTAATTACTATCAAAAAACAGAACAAAGAGGGTGATGATTTGATTTGTTGTGAAGCCTTTTAAAATTAATAGGTTTTTGAGAGAGCTATAAGTTCATCATGTACTAGTTAAAAAAGATGCAAGGAGCCTTCTCGTAAAGATATTTGTTTCTTCTTGGATTTGATGACAAGACATTCTTTGTATATGCCATTGTAAGTTTTGCAATGTAGGATCATTGAAGATGGAAATGGATGATCATCAGTTTTCACTCTTTCAAAGGATTTTGTCTTTGGCTATAGAATACTTTTTTGAATAATTTTCATAGGTTCCTCTACATTCTAATATATTTTAATTAATTTCTCATAAACCAAACAATGTTCAAAATCAATAAGGTAATAATGTGTTACAAGAGTAAACAATCAACAGTTGGAGAACTGAATGCAGACCACTTCACCACTGCTGACAGCTCACCAACTAATTCAACCCTTCTTGGCAAATATTACTTACTTTTTTTGTTTTACCGCTAGATAATGCACCTTTTGGATTTTTTTCCTTAATTTAAAATCTTATTTGGGGATTAAACTATACAAATTCACAGCCAGCTCAGTTATGTCAAATTGTTTATTGTTGCCTCATTCCCTGCACGAGTCATAAGTTTATAATTTTTCTTTATACGTGAATTACAACTTACACATTACAAAATGATGCTCTTTGTGTAATAATTTTTGAATATTTTTAAAAGATTTTATCATTCTTATGATGTCTATAACATTTTGTATGTCAGATAAATTAATTAATAATAGACAGGGAATGTAGGGTTATTGAATTGTTTTATTTGAATTTAACATGCAACTGAAATCACTAACAAAATCAGAAACATTAGGTTAAACAATACAATTCAAAGTTATTTACACCTTCTGAGGTTATTGATTTTGAACTCAAAAACTATGCTGCTGTCTTTTAATTTCCCTCATCACTAGGAATTATTGTCAGATTTTGATGACTTGGATTTTACAGCAACTGTTGCAGTCAATCCAGGACAAACAAAACCAGTGAAATTGGCTGTTTTGGTTCAGAATGAAGCATATTATCATTGGAGAATAAAAGTGATGCAAATCCGTTGCTCTCAACTTCGAAATTTTCATGGTAAATTTTATGATAAATTTTCGTACATTAAGATAAATTAAGAAGAAAAAAAATCCATGTTCACTTCCAAATTTTCCTTGGTTGGTAGCTCCTGGCACTTGTGGAAGGAAAGATCAAGATGTGTCTGCAGCTGCAACAGAAGAATTTATGGAAACATTACCTAGCTTATTCCACATCTTGCAAGATGTGAAATGGCGAAGAGCACATACTTCACGCACTCCTGGAGGGGTGTGGTGGAGTTTCCCAGAGCCAGTATTCAATACTTTCTATTACGGTATGGTTTTCAGAACTATTCCCTACGGAGTGTGAATTGATGTTTCCTCCCCACCTGTGAATTGACATTGGGGATGCCATCCTAGGGAGTTTACGTACTCTGCCCGAAAAATTATAATTTGACTCTGTCAGAAACACAATTAGTAGAAACCTAGGTGCCTTGTTTATGATTTCTACACTGAAATGTACAAATCAAGCAAATCAAAAAATCTAAGTCAAGGAAATAGGAAAAGAAAATTTTCCCAAGAACTTTCTTAGGATTTATTTAAACTTCAAGTAAAAAGTCTTAATTTCACTCAGCAATGCACCCTTCTCTACATTTTTAATGTCTTTGCCCTTGAGAAAATTGTCAATTTGCACCATGATTCATTATAACATAGATAATAAAACTGATTAATTCAAATAAATATTAATAAAGAATTTACACCTTATCCATTAGCTGTTCTAGCTCTTTATTTTGCATGGCCAGGGTCTCTGTGATATGAGTTGCACTCACCTTTGCAAGCTTCTTCAAATTCTTCATTATTTCAGGTTTTTTATTTTTTAAATTTCATTGGAAGATTTATCCAATCATCTATTTTTTATGAATCGTGCCAATATTCCAATATTTGCAAAACAAAAATTAAATAAAATCATAAGAAAAGTTCAGTTATAATTCACTTATCTTCTTCACTTATCTATTCACTTAACCAACAAGAGCGACAGCTCCTTCAAATAATTGTCTCAATGCCATTGAAATTAAATTATCAAAAGTTAACTTAAAATTCAAAATAACACTTGATTTTAGTGAATTTAGTGAATGTTTAGCAACCCTAAACATACCATATGTATTAATTAAATTTGCTGCAGTGCGATTATAAGTCTATTTCAGATGACTTATTCAAAATTGACTGAGAAACATTGCCTCTTTAATAATTAAGAAAGGACGACCAAGTTTACTAACATCCTGTTGCACCCTAAGAAGAATAATTAAGAAATATAAAATTTCTTTTTAATCATTGCGTATAATGATTTCAAAGTGTTGGCAATGCTATTGATACAAGAACAAAAATTCACTAGATTAATGTGATAAAATTATATACACATTTTAAACAACAAACTCTTGAAAATCTTTCTAGAACTATCTCTGAAAGTAATTCAATTATTCAAGTTATTAATTAAAATAATAGACAATATATTTTACTGTTCTTTAATGCTATTTCTACTCATTTAACTATAATTTAATATACTTAGCCCTACACAGCCTGGCCAGGGTAGTGCAGGGGCATTAGCTCCATTTGTCATGTTTGACACGTGGATTCAAAGTCCTTGAAAAGATATTGAATTTTGGCAATGTGTGCATTCCTAGAACAGCATGTATCACCCTTGAACCTCAAATTCTATCCTAATTCCTTTTTTCCTTCCCTAATAAATTGGGTGAGAAGAGATAAGTGTGCATTGTAAAGGTTTTTGGGTCCAGCGTCATTGTCATCTAGGTGTGGTCTAGCTCCCTTCTTTAGCAGAATGTACTCACAAGCTAGGCTTGTCTAACTGTATGTACAATAGGATGACCCTTCTTTTGAAAACAAGTGAAATTTTATCGACCTCCACCCAGAAATTGGTTTGGAATGTCAAAAAAATGAGCTCTGAATTTTTTCCGAATTTTTCAAGCAAAATAACCCATGCTGGTAAGCAGTTGAAATTTAACATGGGTTTTAAATGGGCTTTTCTGACAATATTAGACTTTTGAATGTTACTTCTAGAAAGTTTTTGTAAAATTATGGAACTTAGTATACCAACTTTTTGGGGTTGCTGAGCTCGAATTTGCTGTCAAAAATTCATTTTTGACAGACCTAGCTGTCAAATGTCATTATTTTAAACCAATAAAACAATGTTTTAAATACTATTATGCGTTGACATTTCCTAGATTTTTTGAGTCTCTGAATTCAAATTTGAAGTAAAATTGAAATGTAGACATCAAATTTGAAATCAGCAACCTAAAAACCCTTTGAAATGACAATATATAATAATATAAAAAATAAAAAAATTAAATTGAAAACATTTTTAACAGCTAGGATTCTCAAAAATAAATTTTTGACAGCAAATATGAATTCAGTGACTCAAAAAACTTTAAAATGTCAACACATAATAATATTTTTAAACATTGGCACCAAAAGGTGCAAAAAATGTAAATCAGAAATACATCTTTACCACCACACAGTAACATATGCTTTTTGAATGATGAATGATAGAACTGAAATCTTAGTCTAATTAAAGTCATCATGCTTGACATAAACACACAAAATATTTCACATTCAAAGTGTAATATTATCTCGAATGAATCAAGAAAGAAATACCTGTCCTTAAAACAATTTTTCTCTGACCTTTTCCAATTCCTGTTATTGCTATATTCAACACACAAAAGCAATATTAAAGATTGTTTACTTTTGAAATAATTATTAATATTTAGAAGGAAAACAATGAAGATCGTGGGAAACTTTTGTTTCATTTACTTTCTCATTTTTTAGCACCAAAAAGGATAAATATCAATATGTGATATTTGGTGGGGGAGAAAATCTAAATTGATTGTTCATAAGCAAAACAAAGAACTTTGGCAGAATTTGCTTTGTGTATTAAGGGAAACTGAACAAAACAAAAACATTAAGACGAGTTTTCAGTGATACAAGCAACATTTTAGTCTCTCTGCCTCCCCAGGCCCCATACAAATGCAGATTTAGGCTCAAGTACTGCAATGCTTATTATTGACGTAAATTGAAATAATTTTCATTCTGTGTTGGCAACACAACATACTTATTTATTAATACTATCCAAAAATTTGAATATAAAACGTACTAAGTAGTAATAGTGGCATTTGTTTAGGCATCTACATATTTAAAGTTTTTTTTATCTATTCCAAGAAATGGAAACCTCAGAAATAAATTAGATATTTAATGAGTGTTATAGAATAGTTTGATTTTAAAACAAGATTCTTAATTTAAATATGATGTGAATGTTCAAAACTTTTTTCAGAAACCCCTAATAATCTTATTAGTAATTCAGAAAAGTTTTCAGTTAGGCCAATAACAGATGTTATAAGTCAACATAAAATGAATTTAATTAAAAAAATATTATAAAAAGTAAACGGATGTTGTTTACACAATTACAAAATAAAAAGAAAATTGTCTGTCACTATTAAATGCAATTATATTTGATGAGTTTTCCAACAGATTTTCTGGCAGACACTAGTTTAAAAAGACTGAAATAACTCAAAATCACATAATTTTAAACATAAAAGTTTTTATTCTTAATTAGGTAGTCATTGTTTGTTCTGCAATGTTTTGAGAACATGGATTTTTCAGGCTACAATGAATATATGAACATTAGAGAAAATTGAGCTTTTAAAGAATGGAAAAAACAAGTTATTGATATTAATATATAAAAAATATATTCACATTTATTTTTTATTATATATTATAACATTTATATTTTATATGTTAACAGTTATTCATATATTAATGTTTATGTATTAATATCAGTAGCTTGTTTTCCATTCTTTAAAAACCTCAATTTTCTCTTATGTTCATATATTCATTGTAACCTGAAGATGGGGAAAAATTCCATGTCCTCTACATGTTGCAGGACAAACTTTGACTATCTAATGAAGAATAAAAACTTTTATGTTTAAAATTATGGGATACTGAGTTATTTCAAATAGTATTTTTAAACTAAAATGTTTCTAGATTTTGAACACTTTTTCTAGAAATTTTAAGATTTGATTTTAGGATTTAGAATAAGAGGCAGTTAAGTTTTCAAGTAGACATATTTGCTGATTGTTAAAAAGTGTATATAAATCTGCATCCAAAGCAAATGAGAACTCCAAGTTTATGAAAGGATATTCTTAGAAGCTCATTTCTTTACACTAAATATTTTATTGTGCAGACTTTTAAAAGTATTTCTGATCTTATTGTCATCATATCAAATGGAATCAATGAATATCAAGAAAAAATGTCAATGTCTATTATATTATTTCCCTCTCATAACTAGTTCAGTTTTGACAGCCAAGATAAGGATGGATGTAAAAACAAGTTTGATCATGTTTGGAGTTTCATTTACCTTTAATCCTCATTTGGTTGTTATTTTCTCTTCTTGTTTAGGTACAATGAAGAAACACTTGCAGCAGCAGAGTTCCCATTCTGTACACCTAGTCAGGGAAGCAGAGGAACGCATAGTAGGAGGCTCTGACGCAGAACTATATGAATTTCCATGGCAAGTGGCTATCTTTCTAGAAGACTTATTTTTTTGTGGAGGAGCTTTAATAAATGATCAATTTGTTCTTACTGCAGCACATTGTCTCATGACGTGAGTAACTTAGGAACTTTTCTATCCTTATTTTATGTGTGTGTTCCATTCCAAATATGTATTCACTTCATCGATTTCATGTTTCTTTCAGCCGAGATACTCCTGTAGAATCAATTGTTCTACAGCTTGGTGATCATGATCTTACCACTATAAATGAAACTACTCATGTTACTCGACGTGTTCGTTCAGTTTTATTTCATTCTCACTTTCATCCATTCCTACTAGCCAATGATATAGCTATGTTACGGTTGGATAAACCTGTAGCTCTGTCTTATCGAGTAAGACCAGTTTGCTTACCCAATCCAGGTTAATATTTTTTCCTTTTTTTAAATGGATTTTACATTGGAAGAACAGAAGAAATTAAATATTTTAATGTTATTTTTTTCAGCTGATTCTTACACTGGTCGACAAGGAACTGTGGTTGGCTGGGGCATAACGTCATTTCCAATGGGAGAACCTAGTCCAATTCTTCAAAAACTGGCAGTGGAAACCCTTTCTAATTTCCAGTGTGCTAGAATAATTGAGGAACCTGTAGGTCTTGGCATGATATGTGCAGCACCTTCATCATTCCAAGGAACATGTTTTGTAAGCACACAATCAATTTTAATAAACATTTTCGATGAATTTCTCTTTGAAAATAATGATGTTAATTAAATTATGATGAAAATTCATCCCTAAAGCTTTACATTTTTTTCAGGGAGATAGTGGAGGACCAATGACTATCACAGAACCAGATGGTACTGATGTTCTTGTGGGACTAGTTAGTTTTGGAGTGACTGGTTGTGCAGTTATTCCAGCATTTCCTGATCTTTACACCAGAGTTTCTGAGTACCTGAAATGGATTGACGTCAATGCTATTACATAATTTATAAAATGTCTAGATATATATTTTATAAACAGCCATGAAATGACTTTGCTACTTATCAATTAAGACACCTTATTAGTTAAGAATTTTGAGTTGATGAGATAAATAAACTGTAACAAAAAAGTAACATCTAAAATGAAATTCAAGATTTATATTGATTGTTCATCAATGAGTTGACACCATATTGGAATCCAAACACCAATTTATGTAGGCCTACCTCTGAAGAATATAAATAAATAAATGATAGGAGACCAGGAGTTAATGTTTACAGATTATATTAAATATAATAGATAATAATTATTATTTAGAGAAGGCATCTTGTAATTACTAAGAATAATTGAAATAATATTGCTGTTAATAGAGGAATAATAACTTTTCTCCTCAAACAAAGGGGTGCCAAGCACTTCAGCTCTAAGGAAGACCATGATAAGATGGTCAAAATGCACCTTATCATGGCATCACCCTGACAGCCAAGATGAATTTGCAGAAAAATTGATTGTCAAAGGCTATTCATACATGCTAAAAGACAAATGATAACCAAAATAAATAAAAAAAACTGTGTCATCTGGTATCATGCTGTTTATGTAGATATCAGTATTTTATTTACATTTAATTTTTATTTGTATCAGAAATAAATATTTTTTCTATTCTGGTATTAATTTTATTTCATAACTTATAATATATGCTTTTTAAGTATGAATTTGAATGATTCTCTGAATGATAACATAAGAGAATGTTGATAGTTAATGTGTAGTGTAATTTGAAACCTATTTTGTTGTTTTAGTTACTGAGTCAAAAAGCACCTGGAAGAAAACTGCAAACTGGTTTATAAATACACAACTAAGTGTATAAGTTGCAAAATTGTATAGTTTCATGTTAATTTATTGTAACCAATAAATTTGTATATATGAGTTTTTTTTATATGGAGAGTTTTTTTATTTAAAAATTGTTCAATTTACCCTGTGCTAAACAAGTACACTACTGCATAAGTAGGGTTGGCATCTACAGACTTTTAGCAATGCTGCTCATTAGTAAGGAATGGAAATGCAAAAATTAATAACAGAATTAAACAATATAATTTTTAGAGTTAGTAAAAAGAACTTTAAAATTCATAATTCAATTGATTTCAAAAATATTTCAGAACAGATGACTATACGATTTGTATCTGTTATTTGCGCATTGTTGAGGTGATAGATATTATCACTAGTTCGTCAGTGTAGTTAACTAAGTGATTATATTAACTGTGTTGTGTATTAACGTTTGGCTGAACAGTACAATCGAAACTAGATTTGTTTTAATTGTGCACGTGAAAAGTGTTTAAACAATGGCTACTGTGTATATGTCAGAGTTTGCTGATGACGAAACTCCCGCATCTTTCGATTACGGAGATTCTGAGGTAGGATGATTTAAGCAATTGATTTAAATTTGAGATTATTCTGAAGTTGAATGTAGTACTAACATATTATACCGACAAAATAATGAAACAAACATCAAAAAGTGACATTTATCTACGAGAGGACGGAAACTAAGAAAAGCAAATTATAGTATTTTATACAATTGTTAGACCCACAAAAACTTCCTAAGGTATTTCTGTCATTGTTTTAAGCAATGCCGGTTGAAATGCATTTGCAAACTCGAGAAAATATTATGCAAGTTTATTTGGTTTTAAACCTTTAGAAGTCAGAAGGAATGGCATAACTTTTGTGAACTTTAAAAGTTGCGATCATAAATTGTCTTGCCCGGGATTCTCGGGGGGTGGTGGAAGGCGATCCCTGGGACGATTTTGCGCAATGCGTATTTATTGCGCTATAATTTTCGGGAGAAGTAGTGGTGCATTTTTTGGATACACACTTGATAACCTCTTATCTATAATAAAAACAATTATTTCATTGATAAACTAGAGATATAGAACGATTTAGACCTTAAAATCCAAAATATTCGTAAATTTCATTTGTTATTGATCAAATGGCGCCAAAGTTCACTCCCATGATACCTTACTGTGCGCAAGCGCTTTGCCAGCGTTTCGGTCGCATTTAGTTCCGTAGTGTGAAGGCGTAACATGTCAAGGCAGGTAAGTGAAAGCATATTTTTATGTATGATGGTCGGAAAATGCTTACTTGATCGTTGTTTTTAATTGTACATAATTTGATTTGCAGATCATGAGTGAGGAAAGTCATCCCAGAACTCTGTAAGTTCATTCAATATTAATTGATTTGATATATCTTACCCTTCTGTCACGAGTATTGTCAAATATTTTTGTACCTTTTTTCTACCATTTTGAGTCAAAGTCATTTTATTTTAAAGCAATATATTAATGCTTTTCAGGTACGTAGGCAACTTGGATGCTTCTGTCTCAGAAGATCTTGTGTGTGCCTTATTTTCCCAGATTGGACCTGTCAAAGGCTGTAAAATTATTCGCGAGGTAAGACATTGAACACAGCAAAGCAAAAAGTAATGTTAAGAAGCGCTTTGTATATTGCATTTCCTGGTCGAACCTTTGAATGTTTTATTGTGGAATTACCAGGACAACCTTGAATATGACATTAATTGTCACCCCCTAGGAAACAATGTATTGTGCTCAAATCATGACAAATGGAATTTCCATTTAATTAGGTAGTATGTCCAGAACGAAAATTATTTCTCTTTTCTCTTGTTCAAATTTTTTTGATAGCCATGCTTAAAATTAACATAGTTATATAGTATATTATTTATTACATGTTTTTTTAATATTGAAAGTATTATGACAATTTCTGCCAATCTCACCAATTTGTAGTCTTTTCTTCACATTTTTAACTGAACTAAATAAGTCAAATAAAATGTTGCTGCAGAAATTTTATTTGACATATCTATGAGTGTGCATCTTTCTTTGGTTAGTAAAAGAAAATGATTAATAAGCATGACAAGGTAATATATTAATTTTAAATGAATTATTCAATCTTTCTGTTATGTAAATGATAATGTTGAAATATGGCCTATAATGGATATTACTTTGATAAGGAATTATATAATAATTTGAACATCAGTAATGAAATGAATTACAATACTTGAACTCGGATATTAACTCTAGAGAAATGCTTTTTAATCTTTGGAAATTTCTAACAAGAGGGAATCATTGCAAACCTTCAATTGTAATTTTTAATGTAAATTGGAGTATTAAGCAAAATGTCTTTTCTGATAGAAAGTGCAGCTCATAATTTCTTTTCAAAGAACTCGTTTGTACCTTTTCGTGATTTACTTGTTAATTTGTGTTCTAGTCAATGATATATTTTGTTGATGGTTACATAGTAGTCATGTGACCTGGATGTTCTCATTTTACATGACGGCTGGCTGGAAGCGTATGGCTGGTTATTTCGATTAAGGTTTGCAAGTACATGATGTAGAATAATTTCTTGCGTTTCTTTATTTCGTTAAAATTTATGATGTATCACATAAACTGCACTAAATTTGTTTTAAAGAAGCACCAATGAGTAATTATTGAAGATGCAACTTTAAATATGTTTTTTTAAATATCTTATGCATGCCAGTACGTATGTACTCTCATTTGTTGTTTTTTTAAAATACAGTTTGAAGTTAAAACACAAGATCACTGCATATAGTTTGGATTCAGCTAAGTTCATAATAGTATCATAATTATATTTTTGATGAGTGTTAAAGAAACAAAACTTTTTCGACTCTCTTATAATTTTTGTGTGTTGTATACAGTTGCTTGTTGTAGGAGTCAGTTTTTGTTTGCTTGTTAGTACCATATTGGGTAGTACCGAGATAGATTCTAGAGTTGATAAATTAGTTGTATGGTGACACTGATCGTTTTATCTTCTCTTTCTGCAGCCTCCATAATCTGTTGTCGCTCTGGAGGTGTTGGAGTCTTGTGGCCTGTATGAAACAAGCAGGTTTGTACACTTCTCTCCTTGCTCTTTCTCTGCATGTAAATTCCAAGTGCAGCCAACAAAGAAAATTCTCGCCTTCCGAGGAAAAATTTGAAAAACATAACACATTGGGAAGAAAGGTACCATTTTACAATTTTCTCCCCTCGTGTCTGTGTCACTATTTGTGAAAATAGAGCCCTAAACACAAGAACACTGAACCTTCTACAACCAGCACATGTGATCTGAGAGTTCAGCTTGTGTTGAGGTGGATCATTATTATGAAATTTGTAGACTCACACAATACAGCTAGATGTACTTACGTTGAACTCTCAGTGTTGCTTTGCCAACAGATTCGATCCAACCTGGTGCTCCTGTTGGGCTGAGGAGTGTTGCCTTAATAAAGTAAAAGGTATCCCCTTTTTATTATTTGTTTCTTATTCATAACCAGAAGATGTACTTAAAACGGTGTTCTGGAAGGCTTACATCATGGTGGTATAATCTTTTATTTAATTTTATTATTGATGATTAGATTTTGCTTTAGGTGATCAGAGATGAAAAAATATCTTAACATGCCTGTAATGCGGTAAGAAAACATTTCCTTACCTATATCTGTTAGCAGTACATGTTTGTCATTTATAAAAAGATTATAATCAAAAGAATCATTACATTTAGCTTCATTTATGTGGCGAGATAATTTTGTTTGAACAAGGAGAAAAGTGTACATAGCTGTGTGCTTGTATCCTAAGAAAATCGGTGGACATGCAATTAATTTTTCTCCTTGTTTTAGAATATACTTTTGATACTCTTTTACTGGAAAAAATTTATATTAAAAACATGTTCTACCCATTTTCTTAGCTAAGATGTGCTCGTGTGTGCTTCTGTAGTAGCAGTATGCACTATTAAATAAAGCTTTCATTCTTTGTGTTTCCTGGCCATATGAGGACGGCTGTTCTCATCTATGGTAAGGCTGGTGGTTTCTTTATTTTAACCTCTTGCAGTCCATTACGAAAGGTGTTTGATTTTCATCATCATAATGAACTCCATTGTTTCACTCACATTGGTAGGTATGGCCATATATTCCATATATTGCTTCAGTAGAGGTCGTGTGGAATTTATATATTTATTTTCATGAGAGGTAGCTGGTTTAGACTCACCCCAAGGGATTCATGCTGCAACAAAACATGACATATGTTGAGATAAGTAAATATTTCTTTCTTATTTGTAGAACGACCTTATGTTAATAAGTATGATATTTATTTTATTACTTTTTTATTTTGTTATTTAAATTTACGGTCATTGTGTTGGAAATCCTGGTGAGAAGCAGGTATTTTATTTAGTTCTTTCATTTATTGCAATTTAAGTTTTTGTAAAATAAAATCCACTGTAGGGTGATTTTCATACAATTACTATCGTTGACATCTATTGTGCTGTTGTTGGTTCCAAGATGTGTTTATTCCGTTTTGATTGCATTTGATGGTGACATATGTGTTCTCATCCTCTGCTGTAGAAGGTTAACACCTGTAATGGTTTGCAGGGATTGTTGCTGATCATTGAAGGAGATAGGCTCCTTGTACTGTTGTGCTCATTCTTGACTTGTGAATCTTGATGATCATAACGGAACGTGCTTTGAGTAGAGAGCCGTAAGGTATCTGCATGTTTCATAATCTTTTGTGATGTTTTACCGCTGTTAACGTCCAGTCTCTGACCTTCCCTTTTTTAGCTTTATCAATAAAAGAATATTTCCTTTCCTCAATAAAGAAAAGGGAGAATTCTAACCTGAAATTATTCCTTCAATCATGTGTTGTCTGAATCACCTGCACACTCTTTTATTTCATAGCTTACAATGGAATTGGTTACTTGGGTTTAACCTGGAACTCTTTAAGTATTTATCAAAACCTTGTTCCTTTCAGTATCATCCTCTGATGAAAAAGCATGTGTCAGCATGTTCAATAGATAATTGCTTTCATTATACCTAGGTGTTTCCGGGTATCTCGTACATTATAACTTAACATTCTGTATCTGTGTCACATCACTTGATGTGACAGATCATTAATATAATTTTTATTATTGGTTTCATTTCATTAGAATTTCATTCCTGGTTTTAGTTTTAATTGTTACAGATTGTTTCTTGTAAAAAGGACTTTGACAGTTTTCCGTTATATCTGGCTGAACATAATGGCATTTTTAAGAATTTGTCGTCAGCCATTTATTGTTATGAAAAAAAAGATAATTTTATAACAAATTAATGTTTTTTTAATGCGAGAAACTATTTTAGATTTATATCAGGTAAATTATCAAAATTTGTAATGTTTTGATGATTTCTAAGCAGTGTAATGCTAATGATGGGGTTCTGTATTGGATGTAATGGATACAGATACATTCTTGCGATCGTAATTATGTGTCATCTGATCGGCAGACTCTTTTCCAAAATAACCAGAATAGAGTTTTTATTTTTGTTTTCCATCATAATCATGACTGAAGTAATCAAATTGTCAAAATATTGCATTGTATTGTTGATTATAAATGCCGAAGAAACATTATTTACCTTTATAAAATATATGTATAATCTTTTAAAATATTTGGGAAACATTTTGCGATCAAAAAGTAGTATTTTTTATACGTAATATTATTTCCATGCAAAGCTTATAACAGTACCAATAAGATCGGTTAAATTCTGAAAAAGTTTTGAAGAATACTTGCTTAAGCTTGTTGCTAGGAAATATTATAACTGTTAAAACAGTCATTAGTAAAGACAGATGGGATTAAAGTATAGATTTTATTGCAATCATTAAGTTGGCTCTGCTTTAATAATTTTTTCCAGTCGTCCTTCCCTCCTCATCCATTCCGTAGGTCCAAACTATCATTTAGTCTTCATTTTGTTGCAGAATTTCATAATGGTGATGGGATTTGGGTTATTTTGGAGTTGTACAGTGTTTGATGGCTTTTTTTTTTTAGACTAAATAATGCACAAACATGGTGTAAGTAAAGTACTGTGAGACAGTGCCTCTCAATCCAGTAAATCCTTCAGTACATATTTTTATAGGAGAGAAATTGACTTTTATTAGATGGTGTAGTAAATGTACAAACTTTCTAGAATTTAATTACCTAGTTCCAATGTAGAAGCAGACCAAACTTATTTTCAGTAATAATCCTTTTTAAGATATTCTAAAAAAAAATATAAAATAAGAAAGCCAGTAGACTTCCAATTGTATTAGTCAAATTTTTGGCCAGGGGGTATTCCATGTGGTTCTATTTGAATAAAGATTGATGTAGAAAGAAAATAAAACATAAATAAAAAAGAAATGTTTTCTGCACGAATATAAATGCATGAATAATTTTGTTATATTCTTTCTCTTGTTTCAAAAACTACTTTTAATATAATTTTTAATATCTGTGAAAGTTAAGTAGTTACATTTTATGTTCTTCCTGGAGGTTTGTGGTTCATGGGTTAATAGACACTGTTTCATATTGAAGATTGTGAAATGAAGAATGTTTCCAAACAAAAGAGATCTTTACATTAGATATGTATGAAGAAAGAAGTTTATATTCTACAATGAGAAAAACAAAACATAAAGTTCTAAAATAGAAGAAAAAAATGTTACCATAGAGAATGTGTAATTTTATTAACATGCAATATCTGGGAACATTCCAATGAGATGGGTTTCCTCTATCATCAAGAACTGTTCTCTAAAACGAGAGATAGTGGTGCATGTTTGAGAATTGAAATAATTATTTTCTAATTTTGAGTTTATTAAAAATATTGATAATTAAATACCTTAAACAATGTTTAATGTGGACTAAAAAAAACACTGTTCATTGCTTCAAAATTTAAATTTTGAATGAATTTAAAAAAAAGTGAAGTTTAAAATGAATTTAAAAAAATAATATTAATGTTAGTTAATTTAAAGTTATAGAAATGTTACTAGTATTACACCTAAAGTATTGATGCACTTAAAGGTACATAAACATTTTTGTGGTAGGTTCTGAATGAATGTGATAAAACTGTGTGACAGGTAGAATTGAATATTTGTGAGTTGGTTTGTAATGTTAATGGAGTAGCTATGAATGGAGTGAAGAGAATGCAGATAATTGCTGAAATACATTTTCCCCCTTATTTTTAGTTCATAAACTAAATAATGTTTTTGTTGTTTTCATGCTAAAGTAGATGCTAGTGGTAGCAAGTTCAATTTTTTAAAATTTATTTTAAATTTATTATGTTCATCTGAGATTTTATTATTTTCACATTATGTGTAGTCAACAAACATGACAACATCTTGTGTAAGAATTTAATCAATGTTCTCTCAAAGTAAACTGCATTTGAGTTGATGCTGGAAGGAAAACATTTATTAAATGTCAAATTCCAGGAAACTTCTTGTATTTAGAGTAAATATTTTGGAGAGTTCATTAATTGAATTGCTACCAGGGACTTCATGACTTGTTGACTTTTTTTAATTTTTGCTCATAGTACATATTGATAGCATAGGAACCAACATTTGGTTTGTTGGTGACATAGCTTCTAGGCATTCTACAGTCTAGAATTTACATGATACTATTGTGGTTCTGTGCTGGATTTTAATAATAAAGAGATACATGGACATTACCACCTTGATTTGTGTTATCCAATGTCCTAATGTTGAGATTTCCTAATATTTAATGGTAGACCCATATCAAGTTTGAAAGATAGTCTTAAGTAAAGTGTATAAAATATTCACTTAGACTCAATTTTCTTATCTGTTGAGAAGTAAACACACTAAACAGAGTAATTTTCAGTGTTTACGGATTTTCGTAAACGTGATAATTTTCTTCGTTTTAACATTTTCTCTGATACAGTCGCAGTATGCAGATGCACATAATTCTATGAACATTGCAGGAAAGACAATTCAATTATTAACTTTTAGATTTTTATGCATCCTTATTGGGGTTTAAATAAAGCACTTAATCTTTTATATAATTTTGACCATTAGAGAAAGAAAGGCGCAAGTGGTGTGTTTTATTAAGTGTATAACACCACTGATTTGCTTGTTAATATCCTTTTAAGCACCCGATCTAATTTATCATTCGTGCGTGTCTTAACGTTCTTTTCAATTACGCCCAATATTCTTCCAGCAATGGAAGTGCTAGCAAATAATCGCGCCAGTTGCAACCCCACTATGTTCATTTTACACTTAACGTCCGGGTACACCGATAAGAACTGCCGCCCATTCACCGCAAGGAATGTAGCGTAGAGCGGACAGAACCTCCTAACAAAGTATGTTGAACATAGTTCAGCGGGGTGGTATGAACTATTTGCACAACCCTTGTCAGTTTGTTTATTCGAAGCCCTCTACAGAAAAAAAGTAACATGTCATTTCCTTTCCTCATTTCCCTAATTGTAGCAGGCATCACTGGTAGGTAAGTCTCATTTTTCATTTATCTTTTACCGATACACGTAATTATGACTGGAAATGTGGTCTCAGGGGTTTTGGAATGCCTATCGGAAGGTTATATTGGTGGAAGATTTTGTGAAACAGCCGTTGAAGTTGAGTTGATTCTGCATGTGTGCACATGGGTGTTTGTATCAAATTGTGGCAGTATGGTAATACTTTGTACGTGTTTGACTTATTGTGTGTGCGCAAGTAATATCTAACGTGTATGTTGTGTTAGTATTTTGGAGGTCTTTTTGATAGACGTAAGTAGTGTAGTGGTTTATGGTGTGGTGCATAAGCATCTTATATTCTACGATTTCCTTGCACAGTTTCGGTAGTTCCCAAAGAAAGTGTTTTTTGGGTCACAGTGTGCGTTTCGCATTGTTGAAACGATGCATCTGTTCTTTGAAATTCCAGTTTATTGTGTTATGCTTTCCAGATGAGTGTAATTGCTAGAGTTAACGAGAACTAACAAACCACATGCATTCATCTTGAGTGATATGGACTGAGTATAAGGGCCAAAGTGGTTGTATATTTTTTTCAGAACCTCTAAAGATTTCACTTCCGCTTTTACATTGAGTTTTTGTATTCATATTGTGAATTCCGAATTGATTTTAAAACTGAAATTCATTATTCAATGTTAGAGTAGATTAACCGGTATAGATCCATTTCATTTCCATAAGATCTCATCTATGTGGCAGTCAAGCTAGGAAATCGATGTTTCCGAGAGGGTGGCATGTCTAACGTTGAAGTTTTTTGTGGGGGCAAGTTTTTCACATTTTAACCGTCAAATTTTGATCAGAATTATTTAGCAATCAAGCAGGTATGTTTTGGCTGCCATTTTGTTATTTTATTTAACAATGTAGAACAATTTTAACATTGTATCGTTCAATGTTTATACACGACATATTGTAGATGTGTCGAATTAATTTACAGAAAAATACGAAGCTTTTGAGTGAAAATATATTTCGACATTTAATCGTTATAGCCAGCCATACATTCAGTTGCTTCAGAGGGTCTTAGTAGATTTGACAAATCTATAACAGTAAGGAAAAGCTAGAGTGATTCAGGACATCGGAAGTGAGCTTTTTATGAACAACGGTGTATTTGTGGCAATTTAGTACTTTTTAGTCGATTTTAGTACTATACATATTTGTGAATTTCAGTATACGAACATGGAAGAAGAAAAACCATCGCTTTATTAAGGGTGATACTATTTAGTATTGAAATTGCAATAGAAGCCGGTTGTAATTGTGAATAGTAAAATGAATGAATTTATTTAATTTTCAGTTCGATTATTAGGTAATCACGCCAAAACTTTGTCTTGCTCAGGAAAATATGTTACCGTTAGGAACTGTTTCTCGTACTGGTATAAGAGTAAAAGTATTGAAGGCGTGAGACACGTTTAACATTCCTTTCGTCACTTAGATTTTTGCATTGCAATGCAATTAATGGGACCTACCGTGAACGACATAGTTGTGAATGGAATGTGAAAGTACTGAAATTGGAATAGAGACAAAAGTCAACGCAGGAATGATAAATCATTCTTGTGCCCTTTTGAATATTTCTTCGACGCGAAAAGTCCAATGACGAATAGCTATGAATGTTAGGTATTGAAAATCGCACTCACGTTGTATGTATGAAAACATACAGGAAGGTGAACAAACTTGTCAAATAAGATTGTGCTTTTTTATTCTATTGTTATTTTTTTACTACGACGCCTTTTCGAGAGATTTTATGTCATACAAACCCCGTAAAATGTTCTCTTTGCTTTCGACATTTTTTGAAAATAATGCGTGATTAGGTGTGTGTGACAGCGTTGAGGGAAGCTGATACACAGACAACTACACAATTGTTAAAATTAGAATTTAAGACTTCACCAAGAAGTTTGGAAGGCTTAGTAAAATAATAGTGCCTCCATAGTATTCCTACATGAAGTTGACTGCTCGTCCAAATGCACTTAACAACGTAGACAACAAAAACTCTATTGGGGAAAAAGAATTAATAAAAAATAAATTATCGAGCAATGTTTATACACTAGATGTGTCGAATATTCGATAAAAGGTATGGCCACATGATTCTGTAATAGGTTGCACTGCATAGCCAATTGTAGCGTATTACAGAATAAAGTGGTTAAAACAACTTGATACGATTTGGTGTGACCCAAAAGAACAAAATAAAGATCAATACAGTCGACGGCGTTTATAATGAACATTTGGAGAATAAAATTTTTGGTTCACTATATCAGATGTCAAAATTGAATAGAATTTCTCTATAATTAATTTTATTAAGCACCAACGGAAATTTTTAATTTCATTATTTGACCTTAAAAATAATTTTCAACTGTTTGCCTCGTAAAAAGTAGGTGCTGTTCATGAATTTTGCTATAATCCACATTTTTCATTAGTATTTTCTGTATGTCCTTCTTGAGTTCGTGCTTTCTCCATACTTGATTCTGAATTGTCCTCGTAATGCAGTCTCGACACCCTCATGGACGGTTGGAACACCATTCCACTCTCCGAAGGCTTTTTTACTCTCCTAATGACATAGGAGATCCTTTTGGTAGCGGCATAACGCAAGAAGCTTATGAAACATGTCAGCTACCTCCTCTTCTGGGGAGACGTCTTGGTTTAGCTTCTTTGGCCGGCCATATTTATTTGCTTGAAGCGCACGCAAGGGAAGCAGCATTTTGGAAGGTGCATGCCTACTTTACCTTCTACCTCGGGACATTTCCTCCTCTGATTCTGGAAGTCCACAAAGTTTGCAGTTGCAACAGACTATGAAAATGAAATGTTGCTGTGTTCGTTTGTTATACTGTCCCTTCGTTTAAAATATTTTGTCTCAAAATTCAGGTGCTTCATGTGCAGTGTTTTTCGTAGCTGTAATTCCATAAATGGCGCGAATTACAGGCAATCGATTTAGGAAATTTGGTTGCGCACGGGAGCCTGCAATATATGACAGTCCACCACTATTTATTTTTGTTCACGTCCGAGTTGTCGGAAACTAAAAGGATATGTGTGTTAGAAGCAGCAGAAATGAGTCTTAGCAAGATAATCGAAGGCATATCGATAACAGTTTTTGGCGGTAGGCGATAAACGTTTGATGGATGAATGACGCGGTTTTCTTTAGGGACTATATATTTGAAACACTAAGGGTGTTTATTTAGAATGGCAAGTACGTTTTCTATTCAAGCAAATTTCATTATTTGCTCTTTAAGTGAAAGATAGGCGTAGTGGTTTCCGTAGGGGAAGTAGATAGCGGGGGACAACTTGCCCCAACCCCTTCGTTTTTACTTTCTCGCTACTTCTTGAAGTGTAGTGTAGAAAAAGTATTGTAATGGGGGGGGGGCAGCGAATTTTCGACAGAAGAGCTTATTGGCGGGCCTCGATATCGAAAAAGTGGATAAATCTTGTTCTTCTATATAGTAAATCACTTCCTCTAACACGCGTTCACAGAATCCGTTTTGTGGGCCCTTGATACCGAAAGATCGATTGTCTGTCCGTGGTAAACGCTAGCGTCTAAACCGTTCAGCCGATTTCCTGCAAAGCTGATTTTTCCCAATCGATCTGGCTTATGTCGCTCCCCCCCCTGGAATTTGAAACCGATATTTTAATTTGGAGGGTACAAGCCCCTCGGACATATTCAACATTTTCAAGAAAAACTATATCAATTTTTGTTTTGTTTACATTTTGTTACGTATACATTTCAGGTGGGTAGTACCATGGGTGAGGGTGGAGGGTCATGCATTTAAGTTTTCTTAAAGAAAAACATAACTGTGTAAATATGTAGTTTATTCAATTTTATAAAAGTTGATGGATGCGTTGATCGACTTCAATGCAGTAAATTGGATTTTTTAAAAAAATTATCCACCGGAAATATTTTTGCTTGGGTAGTAATACCCACCGAACCCACCTCTTCTGTCGGCCTTGTAATGGACGCTTAAGAGAATGATATTTTTGTTGAGATTCCTGATTTTTCGAAAATTCAATTTTTTTCGGCGACTTCCTACAACTATAATTTTGAAGATAAATTTGTTTCCTTAATGATATTGTTCCTTACAGACGTCTTGAAATAAGGTCAGGTTCAATTGTTCAAAAATGAGTAATTTTGTGCGAAATGTAGTGAAATGCCCACTGATCTACCCTAACAAATATACTATGTTTGAAACACCAAAGAATGATTTCTATTGAAT